AAATGAATTAATAAAAGCGTATAAAAAAAAAAAATTATAAACAATTTATATTATACAAAATTTTTTTTGTATATTTATTTTTACATTTCAGTCAATTCTTGTATTTTTTACATTATTCAAGTAAATGTTTCTATAAGAGAGAAATATATACAATTTTTCTAGAGTTTCATATACCTAGTGATTCAGATACAAATTTTTATACCTCAGTTGACGATGAGGTTGATGGAAATACTGTTTATATTGAACAGTTTGATTATGAATTAGACGGACTTAGGTATAAGATTCAGAAAATATGAATGAATTTCATACATACATAGGACAATAGATAAAATGCCAAAAAAAAGAGGTTGAAAATCTAATGGTGAAGTATTAAAATTAACTAAAAAACATTTTACTAAAACGTTATCAACTGAAATTAAATATGATAGATTAGATCAATTTCCAATTAAGAAACCAAGAAGGCACGTATTAGATATAAAGAAGTTACTTGAACAAGATACCTGTATAATAAATTTAAGTGTCCTGTATTCCTAAAATGTATGATTATCTTTTAAACTAATAGTTATATTTAAAATTGTTTTATTTTATTGTAAAATATATTTTTTGTTTTATTAAGTGTTAAGAAACACACTTACTGCAACACTATGTGTTCCTAAACCAAAAGAGAAATTTAAATTAGTAATCAAATGTGCTGATATAATTTTAATTTAAAATTTACCAATTTATAAGTATTTATTTTGTGTTAATTAAATAAAGTTTAAAAATTAAAAGAATGTTGATAATGAATATTTTTATTTATTTTTTGCTGAAATCTTGCAAATGGGTATCATATGATACCATACCTTAAATATTGTATAAAACCCTGAAATATAATATTTATTCATATTTTTGAAAATTTTACTATATTATTTATGTGTAGTAGAATTGAAAAAAAAAATAAATATTGTTGATATAGTTTAAATTTTTGGTGAATGAAGAGGTTAACTAATAAAATATTTCATTTAAAATGAAATATTTTAGACTAATTGAATTTTAAAATTCAGTTTGTCACTAATATTTTTCCTCTTAAAGAGAAAAATTTTAATTTAATTTTAAATACGATTTTTTATAAAAAATGTGTGAAAAAACATTCTAAACAAATGAACCAAATGCTATAAAGATAATTGAAAATTTTAAAATTGTGACCAAGAAAGACTGAATCATATTCTATTTAAATAGGTACTAGTATAAAAAATGTATTTGTAATTACATCACAGGAACTCCATAGATTTTTATTATATAAATATTAGAATTAAATTTGTAGTCTCTGACAAATTTATATTAAGCGATTAAAATATACTCCTGTTAACTTTTTTTATTAGATTAGTGTATTTACAAAGAAATGGACTGAAAAACTATTATACCATGAAGTCCGATGCAAAATAGAGATTATTTTACGGAATAAATATTTAATTACCATCTTTCAGTATTTAGAAGCTTAAGATTCATATGCAATTAATTTATTTTACTTAAGATTCAAAGCAATTCAACATTGAAATACTTAAACTAAAAATCGACTAATAATTACAAATTTAGATCGTCTAAATTTTCGCCTTTAATAAAAGTTTAATTAATTATTATAAAATGCAATACATTAGAACATTCAAATATTTGTTATAATTGAACAAACGAAATGTTAATGATATTACATGAAATTGGTTTTTTTGACGTGGGAAAAATAACACATGTCAGTAATTCTAGTTGGTGGTGTTCAGTTACTTGGAATTAAAAAACAAAGTTATATTTCATAAATTATTATTGGGATAATACAACTAGGTAGGAAGGTATGGAATGTCAATTGAGAATGATCGACGGTTACAATTACGCAAGAACTATTCAGTAATCCTTTGTGCGCGATTAAAAAAAATTTTATGACAACAAAATTTATTTTGAAATTTTTCATATTTTAGGAATTTATTAAAATAATATTGTTATTAAAACTTAAGAAATAATAAAAAGCTATAAAATTATAACTAATAAGATGTTTAGAATATCAATTTTTTTTTTTGAATTTTATACCATAGGAATGTCTTTAAAGTTTTTTTTAACTATTACCGCTTGAACAATTTAACTAAATTTGAAGTTTTTACTTTTTTTCAAATATTTTTCCAACTGGACCGTAAAAAGGTTGTTAAATATTTTTATATAAATTAAGCTATTTATGAATAACTAATGAATCACTTATATTTAAATACTCTTCAAGAATTTTTCATGTAGAAGTGTAAATTTTTAATTTTATTAAACAAAGTTACAAGAGTGTTAGCTTTACCTTCTTTAAAAACAATTAAAAAAAAAAAATTCACTTTTTCAACTAATTAACTGATTGTGAAACCATTATTAACCTTACAACATTATATCAAGTAATAAGCTAGACATTGTCCTATTTTACATGGAGCACAACTTATTTTTTATGTGATTTTATCATTATTATAATCATTGACTACTTAATTAATCGAAAAATAAATAATAATAATTTAACTAAATTATTTATTTAGATAATGATCTAAATTAAAAAATGACTATTTAATAACCACGTTGGGACCAGTATTTTAGAAGTTATTAACGTTTAGGTACCTAGACGATAGGATGAGTTTTATCATTTGAAATGTGTACTAGTAATAATAGTTGCTCTTACACCTCGCCACTATACATAACTTTAAATTATTAATGGCTTTTGAAATACTGGTCCAACAATTATTATCGATCAGTCATTTACTTAATTAGATCATTATCTAATAAATAAACTAATTAACTTTTTGTTTATTACAAGTTAGCAAAATTCTATCGAAAGAAGTATACATTTTATAGTTTAGCTTTTAGTTAAAATATATTAAAATGGCGGAGATCTAATATATTGTTCCAGGAAATTCAATGATATTTGAGCTAGTAATTTAGGACAATTGATTGTATTATCCAATAATTTATATAAATATTGTAAATTTAAACTTATAACTAATCACTCGTGGCTAATATTATTTAAATAAAAAAAAAAAATTTAACTCCTAAATACGTATTTTGGTTTGGGTTAACACATATTATACATACTACTGTTTGTTTAGTGTTGAGTAATGATCAATGTTACCAAAATACATATCCCTGATTTTTTAGTAATTTTGAATTAATGTTTTTTAAACTTCTAATTTTAAATTGTATTGTTAAGTCTAATATTAATAAAATAATGAATGAAAATCTAAAATTTGTGTTTTAAATAGAAATATTGATAATTAATTTTTGTAAAAATAAATTATAAAAAAAAAATAGTCTATCAATTGCCTTAGTTTTTTGGTAATAAAATTTTATCAGAAAATTTTATTGATAAACTATTAATAAAATTATTTAATTAAAAAAAATTCAAGTTATAGAGTAAAAAAATATCTACATTACTTATTTAAATAATTGTCTTTATAGCTTTTTAAGTATCAAAAACATACTAATGAATAGACAAAAATAAGAATGCGTTGGTTTTTTTTTTATTGGCTTGAAATTAAACAAAAACAATTTGCATAATTATTTTTATATTTGATTTTCTTAATTGGTTTTTGTAAGCACGTTTGACTCTAATGTGAAAGTTGTATTAGTTTATTATCGCAAATTGCTTAAGAAAATTTGATTAATTTATGCATGGCATTTAAACTAACACAAACTTTTTTAAACTTCGGTAATTTGTTCGTCGAGAATTTCAAATAAAAAACTAAGTAAAATAAAATATTTTCAATGTTAAATAAGAGAAAAATTCGTTTTAATAACATACGCGATTTATGTATTATTTATTTTTAGTAATTTATTTATATATCTTCTAATTGACCGGTAACTTTTTAAGGAAACAATTTATCTTTAATACTTCTATTCAATTCTTTCTATAAAATAGTTAGGGGTTTTATGTAAAATGTTATATAAGTTAATGTTAAACCTTAAAATTCTAATAGTTTTAATAATAATAGTTCAATAAGTCTATTTGTAAAGTGATATATAAATTATTTTATAAACAATAAAAAAAAGAAAGCCACTCAAAACATGTTTTTTTCGAATTTAAACTTAATAACTAGTATTTTCATTTAAAATATGAAATTCTGCATTCGAAAATAGTCTTACATCTTGTACTTTTAGATATATTATAGCTTTGTGAAATACTAAAAAAAATTGCACATAGAGAAGATATTCGATTAATTCAGAATTCTAATTTTTTTTACGCGGCGTTTGAGTTATGCAATATTGATACATATATGTATAGAACTTAAGTAAAAACTATCAATATTTTTAATCAAATGTGATTATTTAACAGTTTTATTTTAACGCGATATGGAACTAATTAATTAATTACGTTAAGTTGATTTTATTATATTTTGTTTAAAATATATTTTTTAATACTGAAACATTGTCGAATAAAGAAGAAACGGATGGAATTTTTTTAATTTGTACAAAACTACTATTTTGAGTATAATTTTTGAGAATTAAGAAGTTATTATTAATATTCATACATGTAATATAATGTAAATTAGGTTTATAATAGCTAGATTATTCAAGTAACAAGTTTTTATATCAAATTATTTGAATAATCAACTCTTAAATTTTACTTTGTATTCAATTTTCCATAAAACAAACGTAATTGTGCGTGTATGTACCGAATTTATTACTCAATATTCTACTCGATTAATGGATTATAATTGTTATGTGGGACTACCACAAAATGTGAAAGAACTCAGAAAATGATAAATTTTATAATAATTTCGTCATAATATTGGTAAATTTTATGACAACAAATTTGAATCCTTAAAAATATTAAGACTTCTATTTGATTAGCAATTAATCTTTATCCAATATAATACTTAATGAATACGAATACAATTATTTAAATGATGGCTATTTTTATAATTATCAATTAAATTTACAAGTTATCTAATGTAAGTTTTTTGATGTTGTACTACTCTTTGGTAAATAAAGAAAACGTAATAAATTCGTACCTTTATAATTGTAGTCAATCCATCCATATACCTATTTATATATTAAAAGTTATAACATATTAATAGCATATAATGACTTATAATTTTACAACCTAATGAATCCATTTCGAAGAAATTTATTATATAGTTAGTAATAAATTACCGTTGAATAGGCTAATAATTTTGGTATTTTTATAAAAAAACGAAATTTCTAGGCAAACTAATTTAATAACTGAAATACCCTAATTAACATTAACATTAAAGTAAAAATTGTGTTTGCATGAATATTATTTAATCTAAAAAAATAAAAATCAATTAAAATTTTCTTTTTTATTGCAAATGACAAGTTATTTATTGCCTACATAAAATTTCCTTACAATCAACTATAGTTATTTATAAATAATTCTTCATCATCGTGATAATCAAAGTAGTAAAAATACTCAAGCGAAATAATCATTCATTATTCAATTTTAGTGCATTAGTGTGAGTACAAACTAATAAGAGTTTTGTATTTTTAACATTATCATAAAAAAGTGCAAATAAGTAAAATAAAGTGATACATGAATATATATATGTATAATTTTTTTTCCATTTAAAAAATAATTTTCTCCATTTCCAAATTTATTTGAAATTGAGAACTGTCTAATTACACTTGTGAGTTATTCAAATAATATAAACTGCTAATTTATATCTTACCTTTTGCCCTTGAAGCACACGACCAGTTTTCGGTACAAGCGGTGATACTGTACAGTATAGTGAAACCAACTGCTTCATGTCTATGCTGTGTATACATATATATTAGCTTAGTTTGTAACGCGTACTACGCAATCGACTAGGGTGGAGCGGACCACCGAGAGGGCAATATTCCATTAAATTCTTTACAGTATGTGTGCAACAAGTCCCTCCTATTTAACGAAGAAATTTTGCCCTGTAAATCGTTAAATATCTAAGTAATGTATCAATTTAATAAAACTTGGCTTCTTAGCTAATGTCCAGTATATATAATTTATATAAAAATTATAATAACAAAACTTTGTATAGTTTTTTATGTTTAATAAAATAATTAAATGATTGTCAATAAGCAAATAGAAACTAAAATTTGATTGCAAATTATAAAGTATTATTGCGAAGAAGTCTGAGAATTCAATATAGTATTATATAGTAAACATTTAAAACTAATTTTTAAGAATTTACAGAAGTCATTGACGATAGAATTCAAGTATACACAGTATTATGAAAATATCAAATTGAAATTAATATAGTAACGATCAATTAAATTATATCAATTAATTAAATAAAATTGTAAAAAAACTCTCTTACTATTGGTGTTGATATGAAATAAGTAAGCTTCTTTTAGTGATAGTGATAATTATTTATGTTGTGAAAACTCTTAGTTTTAATGTTTCCAAAATTTTTCACTCGCATATATAAAAAAGTATACCTTCCTATATTCCTAAAAAAGTGTAAATTATAGTTAACACTATTTCCGTTACCAATTCAATAATTAAAGTATTACGACATAAACAATACGATCATATACGACATACTTTTAATAGAAAGAGATTGATTNATTATTTATGTTGTGAAAACTCTTAGTTTTAATGTTTCCAAAATTTTTCACTCGCATATATAAGAAAGTTTACCCTCCTATATTCCTAAAAAAGTATAAATTATAGTTAACACTATTTCCGTTACCAATTCAATAATAAAATTATTCGACATAAACAATACGATAATATACGACATACTTTTAATAGAAAGAGATTGATAGTGTTTTGGACAGGTTAATAATAAAATAGATATATTTGTAAAATTCAAATACAATAACGGTATAAAGTTTAAAGCATTTACAGATATAATTAAAGACAAAAATTTGATATTCGTGGATTTTTAATTCTTGTTGTTATAACATTTTATAATATTACATTATTGTTATTTCTCAGTTTATTAATGATTTCATTGAATGACAAAATTATGAAATTATAATTAAATTTTATGTTTTAAGTTGTTATTTTAATATTATTACGTTTAACTTAATATACACATTGTAATAAATTATTACTAGTTTTATATGATTCAAGTGTACGTTTTTATAACTCCATTACATAATCAAGTTAGAACAAAAAATTTTCATTAAAATTTCGTTTACTGCTACGTTATAACTATGTTTTAGTCCTTAAATCCAGTAATACATAAAATAAATTAAAATAACTTGATACCTATTTTTTAATTTTGTAGAGATGTCTCAAAGTTATCTTATTTCACTTAAAGTATTCAAAAACTATTTCAAAAGGTTTCGGTTTTGTGAACAATGAAATACTTTTAATAGGAGTATCTCATATTAAAATATTTTATTTCTTCAATCTAAAAGAAAAATAATCAGTACTTAAACTGGTTTTTGATAAAATAATATAATCTATGTTTTTCTATGATATACTGATCATATATTTGAAGTGTAGAAGAACAATAATATTATTTTTATTGTTTTATAATAACCTAACACAATTATGGATAAGAATTTTTTCTAAATCATATAATCTTAAAGATATTCACATTATTATATAACTTTTTTTTTATCACTGTATTAAATAGATCTATGGAAAATCAAGTAAATTAAATCATTATAAGACATTGTAAACGATAATAATATATAATGATTTAAATCCCAAGTGCTGTTGTAGCCATAGACAATTGTACATAAATTTTCAACTAGGACTAGTGGAATGTTGATTTTAATTATATTTACTGAGTTAAAATAATACTAGAATAGAAGAAAACACCCTTACTGTGAATGTTTTTCATTTTTTTTTAAACCCTCTTTACTTACAAACAGAATTTTATTGTATAAAATTTTAACACTACCTTCTTGCTATGTATTGATTATTAAAAACAACTACTAGTTCTTCCATCGGAAATTTTTTCAATAAAAAAAATATTTTAAAACCCAACTAAAGTTTTTCTGATTTTTCATTGGAAAACACAATGTTTGTATAATTTTTAACTTATTGTATTCCCCTTTTATTAGAAAATTAAATTACCGGCCTATTATTAAAATTGTTAATTTTTGTGTTCTTCATGTAAATTTCGAAATTTTTTCTTTTTCTGTTTTGAATTTGTATTCAATTTAATACATCTTATGTTTGTAGGCTTCCCATAATGACTAACTTAGAAAGTTAAAAAGTTTTAATTGTAATGATAAACCCCCATTTCTAATTTAATTCCATTACAATAATAATTTATTATTTATAACATAAGAAATTTCTTCTGAGCAAATTTAATTGACTTAGAAAAATTAATATTATTATTATTTGATTTACTTCAGCTTCAATCAGGCGTATTTTCGTCTTGGTCTGCATCATTTTTTAAAATTATTTATTATGATCAAATGGCCCGAACGCTATAATTATATAATAAAAATAAAAATGTATAACTTGCGGCTAATTATTTAAAACTAAAATTATATTAAAATAATTAATTTAAAACTAAAATAATATTTAACTCAAAAAGTCAGAAGAAAATTACAATTAATACTAAACACATACTTAATTATAAGAAAATTTAATTAATTGAGATATTGGGCCACTGAAAAATTCATTATTCAATTTTTTTTAACTGACAAAATGTGATAATATTAGTGTTAATGTCACTACAGCTTATAAATAAGTTTTTTTTTGGTCGGAGAGTCAGTATTTGTTTAATGTTGATAATGGTAAAATTGTTCTTGAAATATGTATTCACGAAATTTTAGTAATTTTTTTGTGGCTTTTCGAGTTAAATACTTTTAATATAATATTAATTTTAAATAATTAGCCTCAAGTTATCGATTTTTATTATAAAATTAATAATCATTTTTAGATATTTGCATTGGTATGATTTATTATAGTAATGATAATAACTTTAAGAATTTAATTTATACTGGATTCAACTTTACTTTATTGCTATTGCGCTAAGCACTGATTCTATTGATTGTGAGCTTTAAATATACAGAGTGTTCAAAAAATATAGAAACAGGTCAATTGTTACAAATAATAATAACAATAGAAACCTGTTTCCCTACTTACTGAACACTATATATATATTTTGAAAAAATGTGTTATTGATATTTGTTTCAGAAAAGTATCTAGTGAAAAAAAATTGATAAAATAACGGTGTACGATGACACTGAACTAAATATTAAAATTGAGTGAAAAAAATTATCAATTTCTATTTTTTTCTCTAAAACATATCTTTTATTTGAGTTTAATTAATCGATAATCGGCCTTACATAAATTTAATCTGAATTTAGAACTTCTTAAATACACATAAATTTAATGAAAGATAGAGCCACATGATGTAGTTCAATCAGTAAATGTTATTCTTTTATTTTAAATTAAAAATAATTGTTGTATTCTTAATCAATGTATCAAAAAAAAAGAAGTACAATGTATTTTTTTTTTTATTATTATTATTAGCTTTCAATACAGAAGTATTATTATAGCTAAACGATTAAGATAAAACTATACAATAGAAACTAAGACTATAAAATAAGAACTAAGACTATACAAATGAAAAAAAAATATTGTTATTATACACAATTAAACATGTCGTTAAATTAATGAATTAAACATATTCAAAATACTAAAAAAGAAAGAACAAAACAAAATAGATCTAGGATATTAAATTAAGTAAAATTAAAACTATATTAAAAATATTATTAATTTAAAAAACTAAAAAATATTAAATAAATTCAACTCGAAGCCACAAAAAATTAATGAAAAGTCGCGGATACGTATTGTTAATAATGGTAACATTGTTTCCGAAATATACATAATAACGCGTAATCCAGTAGGACGGAAACAAACTAACTGCACTTGGCACAAATTATAACGTAATCCTGATAGGACGGAGAACGGCAACTACGGCACTGATTAAAGTTTCTAGCGTGGTCCAATAGGGCAAGAAAAGAAACTAAGTACACTTGTTACCCTTATACAAATAAGTATAAGTATACTATATATATATATATATATATTTGAGTTAAATATATTTTAATTACGAGCAACCGTAAATACGTGAATACGATTAGTAATTGCTAAATAATAATAGAAGCGAAGGAAACGTAAATCGCCAACCAATAAGGTGTACGTCGTAAACGGAACAGAACGCAATATCGGTAATCCATATTCGGCGGCGGCCTTATCTCAGTGTCAAGGGCGGGGAGACGACCGATGACAACCGATTGTCATATTAATAGCTGGACGGCTGATATCGAGAGAGACACGGGTGAGCGCCAGCCTAGAGCAAAAGGCGGTGCCGTGTCAATAAGAATGTAAATAGATCATTGTTGAAAGGTGTTATTGTCCGGCATTAATACATTGATACCAACTAGGTCGATTGAAAAGGTGCTGAGCATTTGTTTCAGATTGTTATTAAGTGTAATGGGACGAAATTGAATTGAGGAATGGATCCAGATGGCGACACCGCCATAACCATCTTGTCGGTCAGAGCGGACTGAGTTAAAATTTGAAAGGTGAAAATTTTTATTTGGAAGTAACCAAGTTTCTGAGAGTAGAACAATTTGGCATTTATTTTGGTGGATAAGAAATGCAAGATCTTGTGTTCTAGATAAGATACTTCAAGCAACAAGATACTTCTAATATTCCATTGCAAAATGTTTAACATTTAGTTATTGTAGTAAAAGTAAAAAGAGAAAGGGAAAGGGAATAAGTAAATAAATAACAGATACATATAAACCTTAAGTTCATGTAAAATAATATAAACATAAATAGAATATAAATAAGTAAATAAAAATATACACAGGCAAGTGAGGAGACAAGTGTACGTACATAAACATACATGCGTGTATATATTGCATAAATACGCACATAGACAAAAGCATATGCATAAGAAGTCATAAGGACAATGAGTAAGAAAAAAAATAAATAAATAAAATAAAACAATAATGATGATAAAATGTGATGAGATGAGGAAGTTACTGCAAACTGTTATTAGATGATAAAGAGAGAAAGTTAAGGATGTGAGACTCAATTAATTAATTAAGGGTTGAGGGGGATGATAATATAGAGGAAGGAATATTGTATACAGCTGAAGAGAGTTGATTAGCCAAAGAAGTGATCTAGGATTCTCAGCAGGTTGAGCATAGGAGTTACTGGACATGTATTCGAGAAACGAACCATTGGGAGATGTAATAAACCAAAAATAAAAAGAAAGAAAAGAAAAATAGGAAAAGTTGAAAATTGGAGAGTGATTATAAAAAGGAATTAGGGGTGCTTAGTAAATTATTGTAATCATTATTTATTATAAGTTTTTGCAATTTTAATGTAGATTTAATTGTCTTCAATTTTATTTAAATTAATTTTCTCATTAATTGTTTCTCTCATTAATTATTAATGGTTTATCACGCAATAGATTGTTGGAAGTTCGAAAGCATAGGTTAAATTGTACTTACCTTACGTCCTGTGTGATACAATAATATTTTATGTAATCCAGTGTTGATTTCCGTATTAAACGCACTACGTATACGATTTACACTATATGTCATATAGTCTATATAATTAATTACAAAGAACGATTCAAGACTTTAAATAATGTGATTTAATTACACAAATTCTAAGACTGATCATACTTGTAAATGATTCCAAACACTCTGTATTTTATTATAAATACTATTTTAATTTATTTTTACTTATTGATTTTTTATACGTCTGTCAAATAAGTATTTTTTAGAGAGTATATTTTATTGAGAGATCGACACCAATATTTCTTAAATTTTCCTCTGGTCTGGCCAAAACAAGATTCAGAAATATCTATATCTATGTAAAAAATTTATCAAGGCGGAATTGTGGTGGCCCAATGTGTCCCGGTGCTAAAATAAAGCACCTTGAAAGGATGCGGCACAATAATCACCAAGACAAAAATTAAACACTAAAAATATATTTGTAAGTTTTTTTACGCTGTCTGCCGGCGGGATGTTTATCAAAACAAAGACATTAGTAACGAGACTAGCTACCCAATTTGTGTATTTTAAAATCGTCAAAAGAACTGGTTTAGATGGGGAAAAATGGCTTTTTATAGTGTGAAGGGGGTAGCCCAGCGATCTCTACCGTGATCCTAGAAGCTGAGGCTTTGTATTCTAATTGTTAATTAAAATGGGGTCCCAGCGTGTAGGCGTTACTTAATAATTTCTACAAGAGGGAGATTTTATCGTATAGTTAAAGGGTTATTTTGTATTTTAAATAAGAGAACCCTGTTTTGGTGATCTTGTATAATCATAATATGTGACATACATGAACAAATGATAACATCTTATTATATATTAATATTATATGTAATAACATAATATTACAGAGAAGACCCCAATCATTACTATTATTAGAGACAAAATGCGGGTTGATAGTTTGGACACTGTTTTTACTCCCATGATACTTATTTTTACTTTTTTTGGAGAATGATTGTGTCAAGCTCGGAAAAGATTCTATAGATATAGGGTTTTGAGGAACACTGGCGTTATTTATAATATTTGCATTGCTTGAGACACTATTCGAAAAAGCTTTAGATTTATTAAAAATGTTATTCTTAAATATAAAAATGGCATCGTTGTACGAAATGTTTTCAACAGCCATGATTTTCTTAATCTTCTTTTGACGGGACCATTCAGGACATGAGCGATCTGTAGCCTCATGGTATCCTTTGCAATGTAAGCATGATGGGGTAAATATCAGATTATCGACTATAATTAATTAATTATAAATTATAAGTTTTTCGTAAATTATTGTTAATTGTTTGTAAAAAAANTATAATTAATTAATTATAAATTATAAGTTTTTCGTAAATTATTGTTAATTGTTTGTAAAAAAATTATGAACGTTATATTATTTTTTGAATTATATAAAAGAAAAGTTATATGTTTTACCACGTTTTCCATGATATATTAAACATAATTTTTTTTCACTGCTATTAAAATGCTCTATTTCTTCATTGGAAAGAAATATAGATTTTGGTAGACATAACTGGCAACCATTTTCCAATCGTGCAATTATGGTGTGTCCATACCTGGTTTC